ATATTCTTAATTAAAGTAATAAATGAAAACGTTCTAAATTCACCAGACTGTTGGCAAAATCTTTGTCCAAAACCATCAAGTATCCACTAAGAGAAAAAAGGTACATAAAAGAATACATTTAATCATTGGAAATATCATTTCATTTGCTTACAATTAATTGTTAAAATTAGAGAATCCAACATATGCAACAATAATACAAGAGTAACGAAGTAAGAAATACTCCAAAACCGTTGAAATATTACATTAAACTGCTTGGCAACCTAGAGAGTAAGAATTAGAATCTGCATCTTACCTTGTTCCTCCATTTTCCTAAAGAAGTACATGGGATTTACTGCCAACCTCAATATGAATGCCAAAGAAAAGTATTGTGTAACTTAGTATGATAATCAATAATATCTGTAATGTGTAATTTAGTATATATTTCGGTACGGTATCGGTATTTCGATATTATTTTTTAAAATATCAAATACCATACCTAATGCTAAATTATTTTAAAAACTTAAACCAAATACCAAAATATCAAATACCATATACCAAAATTTTCTATTTCGGTACGGTAATTCGTATTTTCCATATTATGAACAGCCCTGGGCACCACTACCTTGTTTTAATATTCCTATATTTTACTCTCTTTCCTTCCTATGCCTGGTCTAGAACGGAGAATTAACTACGTGTATAATTTTATTTGACGTGCTTTCTGTTCTGTTCTGTCTGAAAAATATTCACATACTCTATCCTAGTAGTAATTTTTAATTTCTATTTTTGAGTGATGAAAGCGTAATTGCAATTTTACAGACAAACATCCAAGCCAAATACACTTGTTCTTCAAAAACATGCTGGAAAGTAAGCAATGAGTCCTTTCTATCATTCTTTAAGTCATGCACTGAGTTATAATTGTTAAAATATCATTACAAATTGTGGAGGTGACTCTTGATAAAGGAATTCACATGGGGTTTCAGAATTTTACCCCTTCAAAAGAAGAGAACCAAAAGTTCAGCAGTTTTCCTTTGCAGATGATCATTCAGTATCATGGGAAACTTAATCATAAATGCTGGAGACCTGTCACTAAAACCAGGTTTTTCGTGGGATTTAACCATACAAAGGACGAGAAATTCCGACAAGAAACACAGAAGAAACCAAACATCAACATACAGATTACAGATGCAATTCTGATCTTCTTTAATGGACTTCAGTAAAACTTGGAGCAACTTACACAAATATTTAATCATATTTCCGTAAGCAAGAGAAGAAAGTTTTGAAGAGCCTTCTGATTTCTATTCATTCGACTTCCACCTGTTTTTGAGATATCTAAAGTCACTTCTGCAGGGTGCATGACTCTGAATGCTCTAGAATTAATAACTCAGCCAATTTTGGGACCCAGATAAAACTTTGGATCCCTGAAAAACCTTGTGATTGTCTCAGCTGTCGTGGGTGAGAGGTCAGTCGTTTCCAGAATGTACTCCTTTGATGACTTAGCTATTGCTTCAATTGAACCAATAGTTTGATAAAGCTGAAACAGACAAAAGAAGACAAAGAAGTGACTACAACTGTCTGGATAGATAAATGCGTGTAATTGATAATACGACGCTGTCATCCTTTAAAGCACACATTATAAACAAGAAAAGGTGCCATGATTTTGGTATGTCATAGGAATATATATGCAAAATAGAAGTGACAAGAAGGATCATTAGTGGGAAAGCTTGCAGTATGATGTGTTCATTCATGTATCAGCATCATGTGAAAATGCAGCAACATTAATTACTTTCAGGCTTTTGCATCAGAATCTGTAAGACAGACAGGAAGACAGGTGTTTCAAAAACTAAATACTTTATTTGACCCACAATTGTGATTTATTTCAAAGGTTGTCATAACTCAAACCTCATTAGTCAAGTAATACAGGTTGCATGTCTCGCGCCTGGATGGTACAGATATTGTAGAATCCTCGATTTGGCTCAGGCTTTTCATACAAAGTAAATGACCACATAGCTAAAATGACATCTTCGATTTTGTTGACCTAAAACTGACCCTACAGTCCGCAAGCAAACATATGGAAGAGAACTCTGAAATTGCCAAATTACTGTGGTTCAACATATGAGTGATAGATTGAGACAAAAGGTGATACTATGATTCTTTACAAACTTACAGGTAATCGAGAAAGGGATTCGCTATAATAAGGTTTTTATCATGGTACAAGACATCCGATGGACCATAGATGGGAAAAGCATTAAATAAAATACCACATTTGCATCATGGCTGTCAACACCAGGGATTGATGTAACCACTTGTTGGTAAATCTCCATTGCCTGTACTGATTTTTCCTTCTAACAGCAAGGCAGAATGTCTCAGGTTCACAAGAAAACACCTGGCTATCAGTCAGAAGACTGGAAAACTATTCAACCCTTTACCTCAGCTTTTAATTTTGCCAATACACCCTGTCGTTTGCACACTGCAACAGATACTTTTGGCAGTAAATATACAATTAAGTTTCTTTTGTTCAGCTTGGAGAATTGATATCTTACCCCCACGAGCATGTGCTATCTTCACAATTTTTTCAAAGCCCATCTCAAAGTCTTGCACAGGAACAAATGTTGGCCCTCCAGGTTGCACTACATACCTTCAAGAAAATCAAGAGATTATCCAAGTGCTTCATATTACGCCACACCTTGATATAGAGATTACAGATAGAAGGCGAAGTTAGATTTGACTCACTTGAAATAGGAGTGTATGAAAGAATCATTCTGTTCCTTTGAAGAAAGGGTGATAACCACATAGAAGCTTGCAAACTGCTCCTTCACTTTCTCAGCTCTATATCAAGTCACAAACTTATCAATTTTTGATAAAGTGCAAAATTGGATTTTGAGAGATATAGGGCACGTTTACTTTCTAAAGATAGATTCCTTGTCGACGACATCCCAATTGGTCACAAACATGAAAGCAACCGACAAACCGCCAAAGATAAAGATAAAATCCTGTGAATAGGAAATGTTATTACTGCCATTTGCAAAAGAAAGACTTTATATGAAGACCACCACAGCTGAAAAGAGTAGTTACTGGTGCAATTGGAAGAATATTTAAACGGAAAGAACTTTCATTGAGAAAGCGAGAGATGAAATTGAGAAAGGACGGGTTCTGTGCATCTCTCCATGTGCTACTCATCACACAAACGCCATTGCTACCTGCAAGAGTTGATGATCGATGGTAACGTAAGACATTTACTTTCAAAGTGCAGTGTGATTGATCCTTACAGTTAAAATAGCAATCTAGAACAGTTAAAACATCTGGAAATATTATTTGTCAAAAATAATCTACAAATATTGTTCCCTAGGGATAAGAAATGCAAAAACCTTGCAAGAACTTATTTGTGAAATACATATTCTCCTTAACATCAGAGACAGTTGAAGTATAGATATTTTTTACATGGAACGAGCAAGTAAGCAAATAAAGGTTTCCTTCAGGACATGAGAACTGTAGATCTTGATCATTCAAAGAGAAGAATAAGCAAATGAAGACATTCAAGCAATTTGCTTATATAAACTGTTAAAATATTTTTCCTCTAAACAATTAAGCATAAACATTGATGCTAATGTTCAATACAACAACATCCTAACATATACTAAGACAAAAACTTCTAAAATGCAACTTAAGGCGGTTTATAATTATACATGCATTATTTATCAAGCCTCTTAATCTGCATATCACAAGTTCAAAATTCACCATGTACAAAGTGAATATAACCTTACAGATCATTGGAGATTTAAAAATTAAAGTTTGATCCACCACTTTTCGAACTAAATATATCAGATACGTACAATAAATATAATATGGCAGTTTTTGAACTTTCATAACAGGAACTATACATTCACGTTTTCGAGATGTATTTAAGTTATTCTAGTAAAATTGACAAAAAAAAAAAAAAGCATCAAAATTGAGTTATTACTCAGGAATTCTACTTTGAATACGTTAAATCAAATTCGAAAATTCGAAACTAAGTAAATCACAGACGTATTTCATTCAAAATTCGAACAAAAACAGAGGAAAAAAAAAACTAAAATTCGTCATAACAAAAAAGTCAGTTATCATTCTTCAGACTTAGCACATCAAAATTTCAAAATTATACGAATAGCTATTTTTAAGCAAAACAAATTACTGCTCCATTTTACACATATATTGTAAAAGAGTTCGAGGAAATGAGAAAAATACATAAAGTCGGTAAGCTTGTAGTATTTGATAATGGCATCGAACCGCCGAATCCTCCTTGACTCATCGCTGCTTTTATGGAGAATGATGCGTTTCTGTTTGAGTTCGTAAGCTGGCTTATATATATAGTCCTCCATCCTCCGAATTTTGGGCCATTTGGGCTGAGGGTAAATGGGCCTGGGCTATACTTCGGTCCAGCCCCGAATGTTGAGATATGTATTTATTTTGGGAAGATAGCAGACTCCACTATTGCACTGTATGAGTCAGTTAGTTAGGTAGTTAGTTATGCTTCCGATAGTTAGTTAGTTAGTTACAGATAGTTACATTTTCGGTAGTTAGTTGCAGTTTTTGCTTTCCACTTGCCTAGTCCAGCTGTGTCCAGCTGTCAGTGTGTATATATAGGAGTCGGGTACTTGTAATTGTTGAGGATTTCATTTTATTCATAGCTCCATTTTCTGGAAGCTTCCCAGATGTCTCTCTCTCACACCTCCTCTGTTTTTCCTCCATTAGAGCTTAGAGTTAAGCTCAAGTTTCACGTCTGATAATTGCTCATTCTCGTCATGGTATCAGAGCCTTGCGCTCACTGTTCTCTCGTGTTTTATTGACACTCGATCATGGACTACTCGATACTGATCAGTTGCTGAGATCTAGGGCTCATTTAATTGTGAAATCAACTCAAAATCAAAGTTCATCTGCCTGTTGTCCTTCTACAAAATTATTATATTAGTTTGATTGTGCTGTGATAGTTTTGTTCTTTTTTTGTTGTTGATTGAATTATGTTTGTTAAGTAATTGCTTGAAGTTATGGCTGGAGATCAAGCTCCTTTAGATGATTCAACCACCGCAAGCTACACAAATTCACAAACTGCTATGGATTCGACCAATCCGTTATACATGCATCCTTCAGAGAATGTTGGATCTATGCTGGTTCCATTGGCCTTCGATGGATCTGGTTACAGGTCTTGGAAGAGAGGAGTTTTAAGAGCACTATCTGTGAAGAACAAAACAGGATTTATAAATGAAAAACGTAAAAGGCCAGATCCAAATTCCCCCATGTTCAATCAATGGGAAAGATGTGATGATATGGTTACTTCGTGGATACTAAATTCATTGTCCAAAGATCTAGAAGATAGTCTACAATATGTGAAAGATGCTGAAGAACTATGGCAGGAGCTGGAGGACAGATATGATCAAACGAATGGAGCTAAATTATATCAATTACAAAAGAAAATCAATGACTTAACTCAGGGATCACTTGACATTACTGGATATTATACAAAGATGAAGAAGTTGTGGGAAGAACTCAGTACTTTGAATGCTAATGCACGTTGCACTTGCAACTGTACATGTGGAGCTAAGGCAAGTATGCATAAGGCAAAGCAAGATAGGAGGCTAATTCAATTTCTGACGGGACTAAATGAGTTATATACAATAGTGAGAGGCAGTATTCTTATGATGAACCCATTGCCTTCCTTAGCACAAGCCTTTTCCATCCTCATTCAAGAAGAAAAGCAAAGGGAGATGAGGCCACAGAGTCAACTGCTTATGGAGTCCACAACCTTAAATGCAGGTAGAGCTGGTAACAACAATTTCAGGAACACAAATGGAAATGGATATAACAACTTCAAAATGAACTATAATCAGCATGCAAATAACAACACTGGGAGTAGTGTGTTTAGGGGGAGCTACCCTCAGAATAGATCTCGTTTGTACTGTGAGTTTTGCAAGAGGCCAGGGCATTCCAAGGACAAATGTTACAAGCTACATGGTTATCCACAAAACTCACCACAGAGTTCACAGCAGTCCAGATTCAATAAAGGCAAATGATATGCTGCAAATGTGTTTGTTTGGTGCACCAAGTGAAAGAGGAAACATTGAATATATTGAAGGCACTACTCTGGAGCAAGGTCGAGCAGTGCACAATTTGACAAATGAGCAATATGGGCAACTCCTCAGTATCCTGGAGAATTTTCAAGCCAATAACAATAGCAATGCAGGAGATCACTCTGGAAATGCCAATATAGCCAGTGGAGCTGTGAATTTTGCAGGTATAGTTGCTTGTTCTTCCTCTATTGAACCTAGATATCAATCATGTAAAGACTTTAAAACTGTTGCTCACACATAGATCTTAGATTCTGGAGCCACAAACCATATGACATTCAATAAATCTTCGCTAACCAACACCAAGACCTTGATGTATCCCTTTCTTGTTACCTTACCAAATGGCTATAAAGTAAAAGTAACCTTGATTGGTGACGTAGTTCTAAGTCCCAAATTTACCTTAAAAGGGTCCTCTTTGTACCTAGTTTCAAGTTCAACCTGATTTCTGTACATTCCTTGACTGTACAATTATATTGCTTTGTCATATTCACTAAGTTTTCTTGCATACTTCTGCAGGCTGTCTGAGTTGCTCTCTAATGTCCTCACCTCTTAGACTCCTCAATCAAACTTAGAGCAGATGATGGGGTCTTACTAGATGACCCATCTCACTACAGAAAATTGATAGGAAAATTGAATTTTCTCACTAACACCCGACTCGATATTGCTTACAGTGTGTAGCATCTAAGCCAGTACATGCAGAGCTCAAGAGACACATATTAGAAAGTTGCCTTTCATATTCTAAGATATCTAAAAGGGAATCCCACTTTAGGACTGTTTTTCTCCAGCACAAGAGACTACACAGTTAAAGCCTTTTGCGACTCAGATTGGGCAGCTTGCCTCGAGTCTAGAAGATCAGTATGTGGGTTTGTCATAATGCTTGGGAGTACCCCCATCAGCTAAAAATCCAAGAAGCAGTTGACTGTATCCCTGTCCTCAGCGGAAGCTGAATATAGATCAGCATGAAAGGCGGTGGGAGAACTGGTTTGGTTGTCCCAATTGCTTCAAGAGTTGACTGTCCCATTACAATTGCCAATACCAGTCTTTTGTGATAGCCAAGCCGCCATGCAAATAGCAAGAAATCCAGTGTTTCACGAGCGGACCAAACACATAGAAGTTGATTGTCATTTTGTGCGGGATAAGCTCAACAAAGGGCTTGTTGATCTACATTACATATCCACTCATAAACAATTGGCTGACATTTTTACTAAATCACTCACAGGGCTCAAACACTCATCTCTTCTTGGAAAGTTGGCTGTGAGTCCCTCTCCTCTAACTTGAGGGAGGGGTGTTGAGATATGTATTTATTTTGGAAAGATAGCAGACTGCACTACTGCACTGTATGAATCAGTTAGTTAGGTAGTTAGTTATGCTTCCGATAGTTAGTTAGTTAGTTAGAGATAGTTAGTTACATTTCCGGTAGTTAGTTGCAGTTTTTGCTTTCCACTTGCCCAGTCCAGCTGTGTCCAGCTATCAGTGTGTATATATAGGAGTAGGGTACTTGTAATTGTTGAGGATTTCATTTTATTCATAGTTCCATTTTCTGGAAGCTTCCCAGATGTCTCTCTCTCTCACACCTCCTCCGTTTTTCCTCCATTAGAGCTTAGAGTTAAGTTCAAGTTTCGCGTCTTATAATTGCTCATTCTCATCACACTAACCAACCATTTTTGGGGGAAATACACAAATAGTCATTCATATGGCTGCTATTTAGGGATTAGCCAATATTTATTTTTTCTTAGAATTTGAACTAAAAATCTTAGTTTCAAGACTTTGTGTCCTGAAAAATTAAACTGATAAACTGAAATTCAGGATACATTGACTAATTCGTAGATAACAGCCCTCTAGAATGGCTACTTGGTGTTATTTCTATACCATTTTTGTGTACCTTTGTCCTACCTTGTTTGTTGGGCTTTTAAAATATTTGGTTAAATATAAAAAATATACATTTCTCAACTATTATTTTGAGGTCGGCTACGGTATGTAAATTTGTCTTGTTTTTGTCACTATTTGTCGAGCTTAATAATTAAATCAGAATGTTTAATTACGTAGCCACTAAAAGAATATCTCATTAAGGCAAAAAGAGTGGAAACATATATATATATATATATA